ACACAACTCATTTATTATTTGTATTAATGGGTTGTGTTAAATACAGGTTCGTGTCAAGAAATTGTCAACTCTAACCCCCTAATTTTATGTCGATTTCAAATCATGTTTTCGTATTGTGTCAAAAATTGTCACTCATAAGCATCTGCCCCCTAATCCCTTTAGTTACTCCGTGCCACCATAACTGGGCGAGTCAAATCCAAATAATTTAATACTTGGCTATTTGTGTTGAATTAAGAATTTAATACCTGGCTCAGTTCGTTTCATTTGCACCCAAAGGTCAAGTTCAATCAATCGTTGATCAAAAAAAAAAAAGTTCAATCAATCAAGAACATTTAGCCATATACGTTGCATTATTGTGGCTGCTTGAATAAATCCTGCTGAAAGAGCAATTCAAATGATATCCAACAAGTGAAGTGGATATAGACAAATCAACCTGTCTATCTATGCAAGGATCTAATCAATTAGAAGGGAAAAAAACATATTATTATCCAAAAGGTTCCACTGGCCTGTCCAACCTCTTTCTAAGTGATAGTGCCAGGACTTGGCAAACCACCTGGGGGGGAAAATAGTAGTAATAACACTAGGATAATAATGCATGATGTGAAATCATGGTAATAGGGTTGATTAGTCCTCAATAAGAATTCAAAAATGATACAAAATATCTCACAATATAGTAGTAAATTAGGAGTAACTCGTACCTGAAGGTATGATACAATGTAAATGGTTTTGAGATGGATATTGGTGGCTGTTAAATAAGTCTATTTGAGACCGTCAGATGCACTTATTGAAACGTGTCTGATGAGCCCAAATTCAACTGGGACAAGCCCAATTAATCAAGTACACTCAACTCAGCTAAAAGGCAGGTCAAACTCAGTTCGTGAATTCAACACAATCCAAGATCCAAGGAGTCCAAGAAGATTAGAGCATGTGGAGAGCAATAACCGAGATATCCATATTCACATGGTATTACATTTTTCAATTTGTTCAGTGTCTTCTTCGCATTTGTGCATTTGCTTTCCTTCTTCTTGAACTTCTTATACTTCTTGAATATTTCTTAGGGTAGCTCTCTTGGATCGAAAAATTCATCCATATTCACCCAACCTGTGTCACTTAAAACATTATTTTGATGGGTAGGAAAAACATCATTTGTTTCCACTTCAAAATCCTTAACCACATAAGGATCCTTGATTTATTCTCCAGGCTTTACAAATTCTTCAATTTCTTGCACTTTTGATTCAACTTCACTACAAACTTCTTTTTCTTCCATTTCTTGAGTTGATTCTTCAACTTCATCTTTTTTAGTCTCTTGAACTTCAACTTGAAATTTGATCTCTTCAACCTTTTCAACTATTATCACTTCATCAAGATGATGCTCTTCTTGATTCTCCAATAATGTGTCTTCAAAATTACACTCTTCTTTTAAATACTCATCTTTCTTCAAAACATTGTATCCAATACTCCTCGGGTAAAAACTGACTTTCTTGTTTGGATACTACACTCTCAATCATCTTCCAAACATGATTTGGAGAACATGAATCTTATACAAGCTTCCAAACTTGGGATGAATCGCCTTTGTAAGAACTCTAAGTGTTTTTTCCTCTTTCTTGTCTCAAAGTCTTGTAGGCAAGCCACTCATTGGCTTTTCTTCAATCACTTCCTATAAATCACATGTTTTGAGATAAGAAGGTAGAGTAATCTTCATTCTCCTGTAAATAGGGAGGATTATCTTTTTACACCAAAAATACATATTTGATGAATCTTCCATGATCATCAATTGCAATAATCTATCAAGACTTCAAAGATCGTACTAACTCTAAAAATGAGCTATCTAGACTTTTAGGATCGAAAGCTGACTCTGACACCAATTTGTTGGAATTACTCCAATTTACTACAACAAGAAAATTGCTCTGATACCACTTTGTTGGAGTCAAGAGGACTAGAAATAAAATTGAAGGAAGTAGAGGAGAATATGAATACTCAAAGAAAAAATAACTTTTATACAAGTTGATTACGATCACACACTCAACTTGTACTCTTCAATTTCCACTCAACTCGACTTACTTGAAACACTAGAACATATATCTTTTTTATATAGGTCATAGATATAACCCCTAACATTACAATAAGGTACAATTACACCCACTAACTCTTGTAACCTCTATAATATTAAGACATCATTACTTGAAGAATTAACACCCACTAATACTCGTCTTCCACTACTTGCATATTTTTTGCCTATGGATAAAGCTATGCTTCACAAATCTTTTACTAAATCTTGTATCTCAATTAATGTATCAAAATTCTATGCATTGAATATTTGGTGAAGTTAGTAGACTCCACTAATCCAACCACTTGCATTGATTTGGGATACAAAATTTGGGCAACAATTTAGTCAACATAATATTGCTCCTTAATAATATAATAAAACACTAAATAAGTTTATTTTCCAACAAGCAAACCCACAGGAACTTTTGATCTTTCAGCTGGTAATGCTAAAATGAGCAGTATGAAAGGAAGGAAGCACGAGATTCCGATGGAGAGAATAGAAAAGATTATCCAAGAGCAGAAATTAGAAACTGCATGGTTACAGGCTTTGGAGAAAGGCACCCCTGGAACAATGACTCATTTGAAGCCTCAGAAGAAACTAGTACTGCCTCAAGATGGCATCTCTTATCATAATCACATGGAATCTGTTGTGATTTGTGTGTAATGAACAATCAAAGAAACAGAATTGATTATATCTATGACCAAGCTTAATCGTTTTATTAAAGGAAATTGACCACCCTTGCTACAGGAAGTTTTATTTAGTAATTACCTTCCGAAAAAAATGATTTTATTTAATTGCTCTGCAGTGGTATGAATCTACTAAGAGTTGCAACTAAGGGTGTCCATAGGCCGGGCCCGTGCAATTTTTTCGGACTTAGCCTGGGTAGTGTAAGCCCAAGATCTTACTCAGGCGAGTTATTGAGCAGGTCGGGCTGAGTTTCGGATAAGGGTAAACTACTCGTAACCCATTCCGCCACTCATAGGACGGACTTGTTGAGCGGGCCTTTTTTTATTTATATATAATTTCATTTAAAATCTTTTCAGCTTAATATTTTTTAAATTACATTTTGAAATAAAAAGTAGAGTCAAAATGGACAAAAAATAAATAATGCATAATTTTATTTAAGTAAGGTAGAGTCATTTATTACCACTAAACTTTCAAAGTTTTAATAGTCAAATTTTTTTCAAACAATTGAGTGGAAGGATAGACGGGCTAGACGGACTCATGGGCCTGGTTTTTGCAGGCGGGCTCATGGGCTGGGTAATGGGTTTGAGGGCCAGCCCTAGTCCTCTCTTGAAGGATATTAGGCTCAGACTTAGGCGATTCAACTTTTGGTCTCTCGGGCTTTGGGCCTATTTTTTCGTACTGGGTAACAAGACCCGAGGGCAACCCGACCCATGGACACCCTAATTATAACATATTGTAATTTTAGCAAAAAAATCGAGTAATGTTCTATAAATTGTGGCTGCAGTGTTTTTGTGCTTTATGACACTTTTTTTAAAAGTCAGTCCCACTATTTGATGAGTCCGAATTTTATTGGGCCAAGCCCAATCTAGATAAACCGAGAAAGTCCAAAAAAAAATCCAACTGAGGCCGTAAATCAACAAGAGTCATGAGGTCGTAAATTAACAAGAAGTCAAGTGGAGCTAAGACACCAGGCCAACACCCAAGGGGGCGTCGCCCATGGCCAGGCCCTCCTAGTTCTTCCTTCTTTGTCCTCCTAATTCCAACGCAAGTCCAAGCCTACTCCGATTCAAGTTCAAGGACCAGCTCAAGATCATCCTCCGATGGAATAGGAACACGAATGAGAGAATATTGGGATACGGAGATCTAATCCTACTAAGATTGTACTTACCAAAATTGTGAAAAACCTCTCACTCACATCACCGTCTTACCCTAACTATATAACAAACTCCCTCTCAAAATTGAGGACATGCCTCTGAAACCTTGACACCTCCCCTTACACACACTCTTCTCTCCCTCTCTAAGCACTATAATGCTCCTGGAGATACTCTCTCCGACAATTTCACCCTTTAATAAAAAGACTCAGGCCACCGCTGCCATTTACGAGAGTGGAGTAGGTCATTCGAATCGAACTACTATAAATCCATGTATTAGCTCTTTATTTACTGTTTTATCATTAATTACTTGTTTATTGCTCATTGACTACACTCATTCATATTCTTAACTGTTGATTTTGCACTGATTTGTTCATCATCACTATTTATTCCTTGATAGTAAAGTTGTGATTATGATGTAATTTCTTAGTCTATCTAATGTTGCATATTTTTTGAATTGTTTTGATGTCCTATGTTAATCGAATGGTGCCCAAATGTTCTGCATTTGATTGCAATGTTGGGGTTACATGTAATTGACTTGCAATCAATCTTGAAATTACTTTTATGATTTTTCTCCGTCGGTTTGAATATTACCGCCATTTTCTTCAATAGTCCTGTACTAATTGTGCAGTAATATTATTATTATTATTATTATTGGCGAATGACAAAGGACTGATTCAATTCTGATGGATTTCTCCAACGCCTACCATGTACAAGTTTCTTTTTTATCAACTTGTCCAGCTATAAATTAGATATATATTGGGACCTTTGCTGATTGAATGTCTGTAATCTCCATGAGACCTTTGAAGTTGTTAACATGGCACAAGTAACAGCTATGATTTCATGCTGATTACTTTTGTTTCTTTGCTAACCCACCTAGAAATTGATTTCGATCTACTTGTAATTGTACTTGAATGATGGAGTAGATTAGAGTCTTTAATAGCTTATATTGGGGTAATCTCCCATAGATTTTTGTATGAATCAATTGCGAGGATCTTTACCCATTGCACAATACTAATGCTCTAGTTGTAAGCTATTTGCCAAGGCCTAACAAAGTTGCAACGACAAGTTAACAAAAGTGGTGTTAAAAATAAGAATCTCAATGTATTCGCACTAGAAAAAAAAAAAAGTATTCACTCCAAGACCAAAAGGATCGAAAAAATAAAAGGTATGACTCAACATCTCGTGTACAATCCTTCACAGATTAACTGAACTATAGACGGTGAAATTTGGCCTAATACAACCTCAACTTGAGGGTACTAAACATTTGGTCATAACTTCACTGCATCATTTGCAACTTCTGTGCGTGAAAACAAGGCTATGGAGTTTGCACTGGTGGCTGATATTCACTCTGAATTTCAACCCAATTTGAAAGGTCCGGAAAGTAAGATGTTGAAGATGGATGTTGACGGCAGTTGCAACCGATGTCCAAGCGGAAATATCAGATTCTGTAATTGTTCCATAACCAAGGACAGTGATTGAAATTTGCAGCCTGTCAGTTTACCATAAGATTGTAGTTATGATGAATAATTGATAGATAGACCCAAAGCCCCACAATCAACATGGTGTTGGCATCATCAAAACTTACTGTTTTCTGCATTAAAAGGCCCTTGTACCATTGACACAACTTAAACCCCATCAAAGGTATGCTGAGTCATCTTGAATTTTTAGGAATGCTCAAATAGGACTGGGATAATCTATTACAGGCATCCACAGCAGAATAACGAGCAAGGTTATTATTCATACTTGAGAGGGTCATAATCATGTTTCACTATGAACCTTCCCACACCAATATTTTTTACTTCTATGTGATTTACTAGTTTCCATCAACTATTACAGCAACGCAAGTTTCCAACTAACTCTGCCCAAATCCACAATTACAAATGATTGCTGCATAAAAATTAGCTTGTTTATACAAAAACAATGGTATACAAAAACTAACCATAAGAGGAGAAATTTTGCTAAGATGACTCTGAGGTAGCATGTAATATCCGTTCTGCAAGTACTAAATCATCCGGGGTTGTAACCTGTATGCCATAAAGAAGTTGGTACATTAATTTTTAGTACAAAAGAAATATAAAAGCCTTTCTCACGTGTACATGAATTTCCAAAGATGCCTACAAACATATGATATTCAGGCTAAGGTTCATACATATGCTCCTAAGACCAGTTCCACATTGAATTATTTGATTGATAAACGTAAAATGTTTGATCAAAAAACAACATAAAAATGTTAGTTCCACAACCTTGATGTTGGTGTAAGATCCTTCTGTGATGTATACAGGATGTTTAAGGTGCTCCACAATGGAAACATCATCAGTGACTTCAAGGCATTCTCTGCAAAAGAATATAAAAGTTTCAAATGTGACCTTCATCCAGGGATTTGAAATCAAAAACTGGAGAATTGATAAAGTGTATGAGAGTTATTATCTTTCAAATTATATGCTCGACCATGAAGTTTTTACAGCTTGAGCACAGAACAATGGTTCTAAAGCATGCCTATATAAAAATATGCGTACTTAACCTAGTTGTGAATATATAAATTTATCATGGCTAGTTTTCCAAACTACTGTCTCAAATTATATTGCTATATGCTGAGAAATTTGCTGATGAAAGAAGCAGCATTGACAACTCTTGGTGAACTTGCTACAAATATGGAGATAACATTTTATTGCTTCAGAATTCAGATACCATGTACCACAGAAAAAAGTATATCAATCCAACTCAACAAAAACCAGAACCGAAGCACTTGCAAGTACATAGACAAATGCTTTTGCCCTTTTCTTGTATCTAGTACATTTGGGTCTAGTAACATTTTGATGATTTTCTTTTTAGCTCTGATCCATGTTTTATTTGCTCCCTCTTATACTGAATTGTGCCTTCAACTTGGACCAAGTCATTCCTTAATTTGTGTACCATACTCAGATTGTTTCCATATTTTGCACATTATCAAATCATCATAAAATGTAAATTCAGACCGGCTGCTGTAAACAGAAAAAATGAGATTCTGGTCAGGGAAAAGAACTATTTAATAGACCATTTATGCTAATGGGTTGGTTGCCTGATATTCCTCAACAATAAGTTCCTTTTTTCCTAAAAGAACAGATATTTTGATCGACTAATATGGAACACGTTTTATTGGACCGCATAACACAAACAGTTAGCCAGATATGCATGGAGAAGTACCTATTGACAAGCTCAAACCCCCTCTTAAGCAAGTCTGGCTTGATGACCTGTACATAAAAGGTTAACACACATATTAATACACTGATCAATATTGTCAGGACAAAATATTGTTACTAATAATCAAGGGAACTGTAAATGTTTTCGATAGTAAACCTGTGGAGTTTGCATTTCCCAGAGGGTTTTCCTGTCCAGAGTTCTTACTACAAAAGATTCACTATTTACCTGCACAGCAATTTGAAAATAGGTTTAGACATATCGAGAACTAAATTTCATTGAACTGATATATTTAATTTTAAGCAGAAATTAAATTGGATAAATGAATTCATTTGATGTTAAAAGGGATCTGAACATACAGCCAACAAAAAAAGGTATTGATTTAAGACATACAGTATCAATACAGGCAATGGAACTTTGTGTGGAATGTTATTTCAGAGTCATTTTTTTTACAAACTATGAGACGCAGTGGAAATATACTGAAAACTTAAAGGTCAATGAAAAGAAAACACACAACAAAACAGACAGAATTTGAACTGGGACCAACAGATGGGCCAGTGGTAAGGATCTATTCGTGCTAAAGGTGGTGGTGTTTCGAGTCTCACTCCAAGCTAGAGGTGGAAACAGATAAGGCCATGATGCCAGTATTACTCTTTCCTGCAAACAAACCACTCAAGAAGGAGAAGCAATAGGATGGAGATTGCATGCTCTTCTTCATCAAGGTGAAGAGAAACATGAATAACTTGTGTCATAGGTAAATCTACCAAAGGGAACCAAATATTAATAACTTGTGTCATAGGTAAATCCACCAAAGGGAACCAAATATTAATAACTTGTGTATAGGCTGAATTTGTTCATAATTACCCATAGATTAAGAGTGGAAAGCCATCAGATAAATGTCACTCTCTTAAAGAAGGGGCAGTTTTTTTCTGGATTTTCAAATCAACAAAAAGCAAAGTGCTCTCTCAACTGAATATGCTGACTAGCTTAGCTGGTAAAATATTTAGATGGTCTTGCCAGTTCTGGTATGCACCATTGCCTTCATGCCAGTGGGCAGTGGGAAGTGCTCCACATAGGAAGGCTAACCCCATTTTGTATCCCAACAAATAGACAAAAAAGCAAAAAGTGGCTTCTCAACTGATAAAAGATGCTACAACAATAGATTATAGGGAATAGGTTTCCTGTTTAAGAATAATTTCCCCTAAAAAAGAACAAAGACAAAATGGCATATCAGCCCACCTCATTACCTAAGTTTGCTAGGTTCCATTCATTAGATCATCAATATTTCGTATTGAGTAGCCAGTTAGTGTCTCGTAATTTATGGGCAAACAATATACATCATTCAGTAGCCTCCACTGGGTTTGTCAAATGTACAAGGTAACTCTAGGCACACTTATCATCCCCAAGACATTGGATGAATCAACTTCTACATTCTAGGCATTTAATATCGAGGACTTGACATCATATGAGGCTTTCGTATCATGTCAAATGTACATCCCAGGCATACATCATTCAGTAGCCTCCACTGGATTTGTCAAATGTACAAGGTAACTCTAGGCACACTTATCATCCCCAAGACATTGGATGAATCAACTTCTACATTCCAGGCATTTAATATCGAGGACTTGACATGATACGAGGCTTTCATCTTCTTGTAGCAGGCCATTAATCCTATACATTAACAGAAAGGATTATTAACCAATAACATTGAGTTGATCAAGGTAAGTGTGACGAAGTAATAACTAGCAGGGTAAAGATATGAGAAAAGATAGGTCAATCCCCCTCACAATAGGCTCACATCAAGAAAAATGCATTGGGACCCTTACTTTTGCAGGGAGTGTCAAGATTGGGGATCTAGTCAGTGAATGCATTCTTTTGGCTACCATGTGAGCTTCAGAGAATAGGAGAATGGCAAGGACGGCTTTGGAAAGCTTTGACCGGAGGCAAGTTCGAGTTCAAGTCATCCTACAAATACTTGGTAGCAGGAGGTCCCTAGTCTCTCTTCCCTCAAAAGGCATATGGAAAACTACATTTACTTCCACTCGGTGGAACATAGACTGGTGCACCATTCCTTTGCAAGCAAATTGAGGCCTCTTTTTTTTTTTTTTTTTAATTTTATGTAGTTATTAAGATGTTGGAAGTGTGGAAGTAGAATTTGGCTTAAGGTGTGGGTAAGAACTCCTCTTAGCTTGTGGTATAACAAGGATCAAAAAAAGAAAATTGGTGCATAGTTTCAGTTAGCTGTTAAACAAAAATGTTTCGGAAAATTTTGGAACCATAAAAAAATATAAAAAATTATTTCCGAAACATTGTTTGAAACATCCAAAATGCCTCGAAACACTTTCAAATTCAACCATAGGAATTTTGATATTCAAAATTGCATGGTTTCCACAAAAACCGAGACATTTTGGTGGTTTCGATGGAAACAAAAAAAAAAATTATTCATGTGGTGACATCACTTTGAAGATGAATGATCATTGTTGGAAGACGTTCACTCTTGAGCTCTCTCTTTTGCTATTAACTGTTACTTTTGTTCAGGGGAAGGGACTTGTTTTCCTCAGATTCTTTTGTGAATTTCATGGATTTTGTTGGGAATGAGGTTTCTGCCTCCTTGTATCTATCTTTTTGTTTTTCTTTTTCTTGTCACCATTTTACATTGGCCTGGTGCCGAATAATTATGCTATTTACATTATAAAAAAAAAAAGTAAAATCAGAACAGGCCCAAACTAGAGTTGAAATCCCTTTCACCCCCAAAAAAACTCCCAAAAAGAGAAGACTTCTTTTGGGTAAGTTGTTTATAAAAATTAATGGCATACTAGGGGAAGTTCTCTAGGAATCCACTCTCGGAAACATTTTAACTAGAGACAAAATCCTGTGGATAATACATGCCTGTCTGATATATATTTTCAATGCACTAAAAATAACTCCATTGATTTTAGGAAATTCAAAACTTATTGTAATTTTGTCCAATGCATACTATGTAAATTGAGAGGAGACAAAAGTAGATGAAATTCAACTTTCTATAAACCTATGTTGAAGTATACATTGAGTCAATACATACCACCTTGATAGTAGCTTTAGCAGGAACACCGAGCACAGCTGCACCAATCTGCCAACCATCTTTTAGAACCTGTGAAGAAACCACCACAAAGGGAGGGAGGGAAGCTAATATTTATGATATATCTTATATCACTTCAGCAGTAAAAATTAAAAACAGCCAAAGTGAATGATCTGAACGAGCATGGGCTGATGCCTTAAAGTTAAGGGAAGCACCATGTGAAGCGAATCCATGCCATGGACTTGGTGATTGTGCCCTTGCCATGGTTTTCCTAAGTAAGGACCAAAATGCGCTTACTGAAACCAGGACATCTCTCACAATTGGATCATCACTTAAATCGCATTAAATGTTGGGCGGCTCTAGTCAAAGGCCCAAGATATGACCTAACTGCTATAGTGGGCTTCACAACATCATGGTCCCATCCAATACCCTCCAAACATACCTATATAAGGGCATTAAAGCCCATTAATAGATTGAACAACCATCATTGGTCTATCTTCTTCACCATAGAACCCATTCATTTCCAAAGCTAAAATAGCAACCAATAATTCTCTTGTATTTACACCACATACTTGCATAATTTCATTAATTGTTATGCTTCAAAAATTCAAAATGAGGGTCACTATACAGATCGTCAGCCAAAAAAGTATAAGTTCATCGTATTTCAGATCTTGATGACATGAAATATGCAACCTAGGCGTCTACTCCCTCATGAAACAAATGCATAATGACTAAAATAATACCAGAGGACAGCCAAGAGACAGCTTAGCACCGGAACAAACCTTCTTTACATCCGCAGATGATACCAGAGGTCTTGCAGAATCATGGATACATACAAGTTCAGAGTTTAAATCAACTGCCTGCATGCAAAACAATCTTTTGTTAACAAAATAGATTTATGCTCATCTATTCCACATACCACCATTATAAGTCACGTTTCTTGGTGCCAGTTACCCACCCCCTCATAGTTTTACGCCCATAACATCAATTAGAACTTACCTCAAAAGAAACATCAATTAGAAGTAATCATATCAATAGTCCTAATTTACAACTTCAAGAATTTACAAATAAGGTGCATAGGAGTGACTGCTATGGATAAGCTTTCATAAGTTCCTATACCCACACGTTCAACTTGGTCTGAAATCACATAATCCAACTTAATTTAAAAATAACCATTGGCCGCATTAGCACACCATAGATAAGCCTCAAAAGAAGATATAAGTCCATGTATTTACCCATTCAACTAGGATTAAAATAAATAACTCAGTTAATTTAATAATAACTATTGACTATATAGCACACAAAAAAGTTTATTCCTTCGCTACATTGTGATGAGGTACATGTCAGCCACTGAATGAGGTTTAAGTCAGACAGTTGGCCACTGAATGCCAAAATTTTTTTATATCATGCATGTAAATGTAGGTTTAAGTCAGACAGTTGGCCCTTTGTGAGATAAAGAGTTAAAGATTATGTTCACACGCAGCCACCCGTAACAGCCCCCAGGAGTTTTAAGTCCAACACCTGTACCAGCCTTTTGTTATACATCAGCTACCTATTGCCTAGGAATAAACACCAATTTGACCATTGAGAGTTACAAGGCAAGGTGTAAGATTTATTTAATACCCATTGGCTCTTTCAGAGGAAAAACACATCAGTAACTAAACAAGATTGTGCAAGTTCTTCCTCATATTATATCAATTTTGATACTAAAGTTTTGTAAATTTTAGCTAGGTAGAATTGTTGGAAATGACAAAATGAGCAATCAATATTGATGAAACAAGCTAATAAGCAATGTACTGCACCTGGAGTCCACTATATACAGAATCTTGTCTCTCCTTTCCGGGCAATGCAAATTTAAGGTCCACTTCGATTTTCTCTTTTGTGTCTGAGAAGAGGATAGCCACTTAGATTGGATCTCTACAACCACCAGGACAGAGTAAAATAGACAATGGACAGTCAAGTACAAAGATAAGACAAGTGTCTTTTGTGCATAATTGTCGAATCGAGTATCGAAAGGCGTATCGTTTTTAAAAAATAGTGTATCATATCGTATCATGTATCGTAAAATACGCACAATTTTAATTTTTAAATAATTATTAATAAATATATATATATATATATATATATATATATATATATATATATGTATATATACCTTTATAAAAAAATCAAAGACACTCATAATAATATAGTATTTCATTAATATTCCACCAACTATTCAAGTTTCCAACATAGTTCAGTAATATCAAAATTCAAAGTACTCTAATTCAAACTTGTAACATTAACTGCTTGAACAACTTTAATATTAATTAAAAATTTTGAACTCAATTGAATAACATTAACAACAGGCTATATTTTATTTTTTTAAACCACAATCACTGAAACGATGTTGTTTCATTGGCTAGTGATTTAAAAATAAGTCTTATGGTAAAACGATGTCATTTCAACCCCAAAAAACTAAAAAATAAAAAGAAACAGAATTGTCACGTATCGTACCATATCATATTGTACGATACAGTATAAAAACGATACAGTGACACGATATGTATCGTTTTTCAGGTGTATTTTGACATATCGTACTATACGTATTGCGTATCATACGATACTAATAACTATGCTTTTGTATGTGTGAATGTGCGCACGAGAGAGTATTCGTACATGTTTTTCCACAAGTAAGCATGGGTTAATGCATTAAAATAAAGCTTCAAACCTTCAAAAATGTCCACGTAAGAAGGATCACAAACTACAACAATTTCCTTCACTTCAGGCATGCTTGATAAAGTGTAGAAACTGCAAGGAAAACATCATAGTGTGATTTTGTGATGCCAAATGCAAAAAGCACAACATGAATAGAAGAAACATTCCAAATATCCACTCTAACCACTCCATACAAACATCTTTTATTGTATGAAGACCCAAATTTAATGATTCCCCATGTAAGACAGTTTTGCACCGAGAATTGACCAGATATAATTATGCCAAATCTTAGGTCATGTAGGTAGCAAGTTAAGGATTATACAACCATATTCCAGGGAATACAAATGTTGGGCATCAAAACCAAAATCAATTGACTATGAGTCAAGAGACCCCTAAAGCATATAAATCAATGTGGAGATCCTAATCATTGCATGTGGATTACAAACTCTCTTTACACCTCTTCATGTGGGACCTAGGCTCGTACGTGATACTAACAAACAGACAAACATGCATTCTGGAAAATACAAATAGGTAAAAAAAAAATACAAAATAGATAAGAGGCTTGACCTACTGACCACCTAAGGGTAGACTCTGATACCAAGTTAGAGCATCCAACTGAAAATCAACTAGAAATGAGTGGAGTAGCCCTCGGATATGTAAACCGACCTTGGGTGGCATTAATCATTCGATGTGGGATACAAGCGATTCAACATGTGTGGTCAAATGAGTTTATACACAAAACTGACATTTTGTCAAAACAGGGGCTTTAGAGCCTAAAAATGGTAGACACCTTTAACATAGTTTTTCCCAACTCTATTTTCAATGTACAACCTCTTGTAATTTTATTCACGCTATTGTCTAACAAATCTAAAACAGTAACTGAATGTAGAATCATGCTCAAAAAAAATATGTCTCGTGCTGAAAAATTAGCCTACAAGATCTGCTGTCCTGTTAATATGACACATAAATCAAAAGCAAATCTCAGTTCACTAACAGGACACACTAGCAATATACAATAATAACAGTGTCGAAACTAATGCAATGTTGGTGGTTTTCTGTAAAAACTTTCGCCTCTGTTAGTATAATTTATGTGCACGATGTGCAAGTAGTAATAAATCCACTACCCATACTAATCTGAGACTTGAGTTTTGCAGAAGTAATGCAATGGAAACCTCTATAGTTAGTTAAAGACAGTAACACACTTGTATCTTTGAATAAACAATGACAGCAAAATAATGTCCATAACTGTCTCAAGTTCATAGTCATTTCAGCCTGTAGAATAACAGCATTATAACAGACAAGTCTAGTTATTAGAATTTTACGTACACTATATTGTTTAGAGTATGTGTCCAAAGCTCAAAATTTCAGGACATCAGATTATTATAAACAAAAAATTACTATATACTGTTTCACATTTGGATTGAAATATTGGAAAAACTTGGATAATTGAATATGGCCCCAATTGTTGGATTGCTCTAGTATGATGGATCAGACATCCATCAAATGTGAGGAAACTTTCTCTCCATAAGCCCTCTTGAGATGTTTGTAAAGCGAACCAAATAAGTAGGGATGCAATTTCCCAGAGTTAAGTAAATGGTGTTACCTATACATAGCAATTGGTTGGCCAAGAAGTGGAAGATACTGCTTTGGCATGCTCGCCTATCAAAAAGTATAACACAAGCATCGATAAAAAGTATGTGGGAATGGAAAGGTATAAGCACATACGTATATAACTCCAAGCATACATGTATAGAAAACCAAACATATGCAAACTGTTTCTAACAAATTTCCATGTGTGTCTGAGGGGAGAGAGAGATACTTACGCCCATTCTTTTACCCTTCCCTCCAGCGAGAAGAATGACGGAGACGCTTTTCTCTTTCACAATATCAGAGCTCTGTGTGAATAACCAGGGGGCCAAAAAGAGTAGTAAAAATGAAAAGATATAAATCAGCCCCTTCTTAATTACAAAAACCAATAACTAATTACATACACAGACTCATAAGTGTTGTAGTGATGCTGTAGACATCTCTTACCTCATTTAGCTCCTCAACCTTGGCAGAGCAACTGATTCTTGAATTAGCAACTGTTGCCTCTCTCAAAACATCGATTCTCTTACTATAAGTGCCGAAAGCTCGGGAGTTCTTCAGGTGTGAATGAAAATCATTTGGATTCGAGAAATGTGAGAGTGAAGAAAAAGATTTGGAGGGAATTTGGAGATTAATTCGCGAAGAGAGTAGAAAAGAATAAGAAGATAGCGGGACTCTGACTTGAAGAATCGACATTCCAACGCTCTGTGACCGAGTGACACACACACACACACTCTCTCTATCGCACTCTCTCTTGATAGACGGTGGTCGAAAGAGACAAATCAGAGAAGCGCATGTTTCTCGAGGGGTTTGGACAGCATCTTTCTTTAAAATATGGGAGAATTACACGTAGGCTCCTAAAACTTGTATTTAATTACAAAGATTCCTTGAAGCGTATACTTACGCTCAGACTCCGTGATATTTAAAATATTACACATAAATCATTTGAATTTGTACATATATAACACTTAAATCTCTGTTGTCAATGTCCGTTAGTATATTCGTTAGTAAATTATATTTAGATCCCCTAAAATTTATAGATATATAATATTTAGATTTATCAAATTTAAAATATTATATTTAGACAATAAATATTTCAATCAATGATAGAATATCAAATATTTTAAATTTTACAATTAAATTAAACTATCAAATTATTTCAATTAAAGCTAAAAGATATTATGTCTATTACAGTTTAACCCCTTATTTGATTTTTTAGTTTTATTCTAATAGACATAATAATTGTTTACTAATTATGATTTTTAAGAAAAAAATTGATTTTTAAATTTAATTTTATTTCAATAAATGACATCATAGAACATGAATTTTGATTGTAAAATTCATGTTCTATTATTAATGACTTAGACTCCTTGTTTGTTTTTTTAGTTTTATTTCAATAGATAGTATAATTATATACTAAATTATGATTTTTTAAGAAAAAATTAATTTTATATTTTTAATTTTATTATAATAAATGATATAATAGAACATGAATTTTAGTTGTAAAACTTAAAATATTTGATATTTTATCTTTGATTAGAGTATTTTTTTATCTAAGTATAATATTTTAAATTTGAGGGATCTAAGTATTATACGTCTATAAACTTAAAGAGGTTTGAATGTAATTTACTAACGAATATATTAACGAATATTAATGATAGGATTTAAGTATTATTTGCATACAAATTTCAGGAAGTCTGAATGATTAAGTGACAAATTTTAGTGAGTTTAAGTGTAATTCTCCGACGAAGCAATAACCGGCAACGGAGTAAATAGGAATCAATCTACGGTAGTTTAGAAATATAATTACTGACCTACGGCAATTTTAACCAATTTATAATAATTTTCAGGGTAAAAAGCATGGACATTCACTCGGTTTGGCAATATTACACGGGCATCCCTTAATATTTTATAAATAGAACAGAGACCCTTAAAGTTTGAAACTCATTACACGGAGACTTCTTCTATCTCTCTTACATCAATGTTGTTAACAAAAAGTGATGATTTTATTCCAAAAAAAATTTATTATTTTCACAATTATCCTTCTCAAAATTTATTACCCAAAAATATTAAAAATTTAATAAAATCAAACAAAATTTGATTTAGTACCCAAAAAATTGATTAAATGAATTTTAATATTAATTTGATGATAATAAAAATTAATTTTATATTAATTACACAAAGTTGAATATAAATTGGACAAAATTAAATATCAATTTGAGATTATTACAACATTGGTCTAAGTAAAACTATTTAACTCTTGAGATTATTACAACATTGGACCAAAATAAAAATAAATATCATTCTTGTTCTACATCCTATATATCCAACTGATATGATAATGCCACATTGACATTTTGACATACTATGCATTGAATTTTAAGTATTAATTAGTTGATTTGAAAATTTTTAATGCACTTTTGTAAGAAATCTCCAAATAATAGATCATTTGCGCTTAATTTTATTTAGAGTCAAAAAATATTAGTGGATCTCCCACCAAATAGTGACCAACTATGGAAGAAGTGAACAAATTGTACTAGAGGATTATATCATTACCCACAATTATGCACCAAAAACATAGCAAGAAGACCCAATGCATGATCATATATATATATATGATATGTGTGTTCGTGAATTTCTATGGAATTCATTTGATATTCAATTGAATTCCATAAATTTAATTATCAGAAAAAGAATTCAAGAAAATGTTAAAAATTACTATTTTTAAGGTATAAGTTATACTTTTTAAAGGTGAAGTAATAACTAGTTGAGGTTGGCAATGATGAAAATTGCGCCTAATGCGAAGGAAAGGAATGAAAAAAAAATAATAAAAAAAAATAACTAGTTGAGGTAAATCTATGATTATCATGAAATATTATGATCGATCATGAATACCCTCAAATCAATTGTAATTTCACCTTTAAAAAATTTAACTTGACTTTTAAAAATTATCATTTTATTTTTTAAAAATTGTTACTTTCAAGATTAATAATGATATTTTAGAATCGATTGTGCATTTTCCAAATATAACTTTTATCCCAAAAAATGATAAATTTTAGTACGATAATCTTCCTCTAGATTTAAAGGTGGATGATTTATTCATACATTTGTTTTTGAAGTTTGTTTGCTAAGGTCTAAATTCAGCAACTTTTAGCTCGCCAATATTAAATAAATTCATATTGGTGTTCCTAATGTTTCAAAAATAAACACGTCACACACAATCACCATTTGCAATTAAGGAAATTCAGGCAATTGTCATCGACTCTCACCCAATTTTATAGTGAGTAATCAAAATAAACAAATATCAAATTAATGTTTCAATATAATTTAATGTCCTGATAAAATAAAAATATAATTTTATGTAACAATTACCATTCACACTAGGAGTGTCAGTTCTGACCCGTTGACATGAACGATTACAAAAGTGATACGATTATTAAATACGTATAATAAGTAGTTTGGACTAATGTTTAATACTTAAAACACACTAAATAAACTTTTTTTCGTGGATCTTAACACGACATGTGAGTCACTACACGATTGACAACCCTAATTCACACTATAATGAGCATTCATACTGTGACAAAATACCGAACATTCACACTTTGGCGATATCCATATTCATTAAAAACATATGCTTAAGATTATTGTATAATTTATGGTATTAAGCAGCAAATATCAGATTCAATTACAGAGCACTATAAAAAATCAATCTCAGTGCAAAAATATCAACTTAAGGTTAAAACAAAACAGTGAGTACTCACATTGATACATTGCACATTCAAACTACAATGGAACAAATTATACATAATTAATTCTCAAATTGCATCCGAATTCACAAGAAGGTGTTTGTTCATGAAATGTAGAACAAAAATCAAAAAAAAATAAAAGAAAAATCAGATTTTCGTTTACTTCGGAATCCCAAAAACAACTAATAACAAATATGATAAAAAAAAATACAAAACCAGAATTTCATACATATACACTTCCAAATTCAGAAAAGAAGCAGTCGTTAAATTAACATCAAATATATATATCTAAACCTGAAGTGAATTAAATTATATACGTTGAAAAAGACGACTAACAGAAAGTGTTTCTCTGCGGGAAAAAAAAAATTGAACGTTGAAGTTTAAATTGTTGACGAAGAGAAGACACATTGATAGAGAAGAAGAAGAACAAAAGTCCAAAATTACCCTTATTACAATACGGCAAATCCCATAAAAAAAAAAGGATTGTTAAACTAAACTAGCAAAATTTTTGAAAAAGGGTAGTTTAGTACATGTAAAATTTAAAAATCAGCCAACGTGTACCTAAATATAATATATTTTAGGTCAAAAGTACTTATCTAATAAAAGATTTTAGTTAAGTTATTTTCTCACAATTAAGTAATTTAAAAGGTACCTCCTCGCAATTTTTCGAAAAATGATCCATTGTTTGCCTATTAAACTAATTCTAATGGGTCTATATTTTTATCCGGCTAATTGTTTGGGCCAATTTCTTAAGCCTCAATCAGGCTATCTTATTGGTTAACAGGACAAACTATAACCTTACCATTCATTCATCCACGGGCTGCCATTCGATGGGTCATCGACAAATGGCCAGTGATTATCGAGCTTTCTAGGCCAACTCGTAAGACACAAGCTTTTTACTAAGACTTATTACTTTTTTTTTTTTTTTCGTCAGAACATAAATATTGTATTTCGTAAAAGAAAAAAGAATGTTTAATTACAGAGTACTGTTAACCTATACTGTCACATTCCAATTTCTACAAATAGCCATGAATTAAAATATTAACCATTAACTATTAGAGCATAGCTAAAATAAACTATTTACATAAATTAATCTATCCATCTTTTAATATTTGACTAAATAAATCCCTAGAACCATAATTTAATCATCAAATGTTACATACCAAACCTTTAAATAAAACAAATATCTCTCCCTTTTTTACAAAGAGTATAGAAGCACCCCATGGCGACGTGCTTAGCCGAATAAATCCAAAAGCAAGAAGTTCATCCAACTGTTTTCTTAATTTCTTCAAATCTAATGGTGTCATACGGTAAGGGGCAATAAATATTGGTTTCGTACCAGGGTATACCTAAATGGTAAATTTATTTCTCTTTGCGGGGGCAGTCTAGATAATTCCTCTGGAAATACGTTAGGAAAGTCACATACTACCAAGATGATATCTGCTGAGGTCTCACCCTGTGTTTCCCCAATTAAATTGGCAAAGAACTCCAATCTACTTCTGTTCCATATGTGGAACGGAAACGAAGAGTGATATTCATCTACAAATTCAAACTCTACATCTCTCGAGGTATGAAATATGATTATTTATTACTATGACAATCCATGATAGCATGACAGGAAGACAATAGGTTTATTCCGAAAATTATGTCATATCTAATTATTTCTAAAGCAACTAAGTCCACAATCAACTCGCGATCCTTAATTTGGATCACACAATTTATGCATACCCTAGCCATTTCCAAGCAATGCCTTGTAGGTAGGTTTATACACAATGTGCGACCTAAAGGTGTGAATTCTTACCCTAATGCAATAGCATATGAAGTGCAGATAAAAGAATGGGTTGCCCTGGGTCAAACAAAGTACATGCCCAATAATTATAAATAAGAAAGATACATTCAATCACTTCATTAGAGGTGTTGTTATCTGGTATTGTCATTGCATAGATCCGGGGTTGGCCTTCGGTAACTGCTGTTCTACTTCCTAGCTTTTTCAATTGTGCTTGATTTGTAAATGACTGTGAATG